TTTGGTCTCGGCTGGCGCAGCTTTCGAGCAAATGGATGGAATGTATTCGACATCATTGTCGCAGGAGGCAGCGTCGGGACAACTTTCATCGTACGGTTCGGCTCGATAGGATTTCTCGTGCAGCAGCTGCAAAAGCTGTTCCTGGTCTGCATCACCTTCAAGCTTGTCGAGAGGACGAACAGTCTCAACAAACTGTTCAAGACGGCGGTCGCGAGTCTGCCTGTGATCATCAGTTTGTTGAGCCTGTGGTTGGTTATGTTCCTGTTCTTTGCGATCCTCTTCCTCGAGGTATTCGGGTTGACCAAGTGGAATTCTGCCGAGACAAGAACACAGAATTTCAGCACCATGGGTTCGACCCTGGTCATGCTCACGTTCTTCACGACTGGTGAAGCTTGGAACCAGTACATGCATGACTAGTGGGTCTTTTTCATGCTATTAGTCACTGCGAGCTTATGGAATCTTAGCACCATCGAGTATCCCCGTTGCACCAATCGCGATTTGAAAGAGAACTCGGATTGTGGCAGCACCGTATGGGCCTTCACCCTGTTCATCACCTGGAATGTGCTCAGCATGGTGAGCATCTTGGACACCCTGTTTTGCAAACGCTGATCTGACATCGTAGTACATTTTCGTGAACATGTTCACTGGTGTGGTTGTCGAGAACTTTTCCTATGTCTTCCAGACGTCGGGTGGGACCAAGTCGATCACGCGAGCCCAGATGCGGGCATTCAAGAAAGTTTGGGCCGAATTTGCGAACCCCAAGACGGGATATCTTGAACGCAGTCAATTCGTGCCGTTTTTTGCTGTGAGTAGCTCGCTGTTGCTGAGATCTTCGATTTACATCCCTCCAGAAACTGAGCGGTGTCTTCGAAGTACGGATCTACCCGGTCGAACATAGCATCCCCAACATCCAAGCTCAGTGCAAGCCCTCGACGGAGTCGCAGTATTGGCCGGATCGGGTAGTCGAAGGTGTTGACTTGATCAAGTTGGAGAAGGTGCTCAAAGATATCGACTACACGGCAATTCGCAAACGGAGGGCGATTTATAGTCGAATATATCACGAAGCCAGTATCTCTCACCAGCAGGGGCGAGGGATGTCTTTCACCGACATGCTCTTTTTGCTGGCACATCACAAGCTCATTGTGGATCGAGATGCCTTGGTGTAAGCGCGTTATGCAAAAGTCTTCTGGCAATCTACTCATCCCGAACAGGCTGAAAGATCTCGTCGTCCGCACCGAAACGAACAAGCTGGTCACCGACTTGGTCAACCTTGACCGCGTCAGGTCTTTACTCAAAACTATCTCGCACCGGCGGCGGTTCCTCAAGTACAAGCAGCAGAAGTACATGTCGGAGACTCCGTCGATCGTGGTAGATGTAATGCCCGCGACACCACCTCCCTCGTCAAGAGACATCTCATCCGCCATCTACTCGACACCGGGTTCGCCCACGCCACAGCCCAAGGCGTTTTTCGGCTCGCCCGATGTGTCGCTTACGTCGGGGTCCAAGCTGCAGCGCAGCGGCCGACGGACGAGCGACATCAGCATGCTGAGCGGAGATCTTGGGTATTACTACGGTGGAAACAGCAGATCAAGAGAAAGTTCGGTCTCCATGTCGCCAGGGGAGGACCCTCAGGCCATCCTCCAGGCAATGGAAACCTCCCCCTGGGGTGATCTGATGGCTGAAGCGGAGCTGGAGGAGGGCAGCAGGTAGTGGTTGTTGTATGATTGATATGGGTGGGATTGTTTTTTTTAATATCTGGACGGTACATATTTTACTAGACATGTGCATTTCTGTACAGTAGCATGCGCTCATTTATCATATTATTCGTTCTAGCATTCATGGATATCATAATTACTGCCTGTCACACTGCCGTCAGTTGCTGTGGACCGCCATCACCATGCCCTTTGAAACGCGCAGTCCCATCTTAGAACTTCCGTTCGATGTGATCTCCCAGATCTTTGTCTTTTGCCTCCCCCAAGTCCAAGACGCTCTGCCATGGCGAACGGAAGCTCCGTTGCTTCTTATCGCGATATGCCGACAATGGCGCCAACTGGCGCTCGAGACACACGAACTATGGAACACAATCTATCTCGAACTAAAGCCCCACAACATACTGAGCTGCCGCCCGCTCCTCGAGTTCTGGCTCCCGCGTGCGGGGCAGATGCCGCTCTCGCTGAGCCTGGTATACCGCGGAAGCAAGGGACACGTGCACGCCCACAGTAACTCCCATCCGCTCGCGACACTGATATCGGACTACGCGCCGCACTGGACCTCGATTGACTTACAGACGCCCCTGTTCCTCTTATCCAACTTCGAAGCGCCACAGCGACCGCTCGCCTCGCTGCGGAAACTCACTCTGCACTCGGAAGGGTTCTACGGGATATCATCCGACGTCAAGTTGTGCGTCTTCGCCAACACGCCGCAGCTGCGCGATCTGCATCTCGTCAGCGGGGTCGTCGAAGCCTCCAGCCTGGGCCTGCCGGCTGAGCAGATCACGACGCTGCGAATGGAGCACACGACTGTGCGGCATGCACTCGACATGCTCGTGGCGTTCCCGAATCTCGAGTCCATGACCTGCATCATCTGGGGCGAGGCAGGCACTCCCCAATCAGCCCCCCACGCGTCCTCACTGAAGTCGCTGCGTCTGATCCTCAGCCACGATCGTGGCCCGGCACTGCTCGCTCATCTAACCGCGCCTCTCTTGGAGCGATTGGAGCTGGATGTTATCCATCGGGCACAGTTGGCCCTCGTCACATCGTTTGTCCACCGCTCGAGATGCTCTCTCCGCTCATTCTCTGTGCGGCTTGGCGAATACTGGTCGCATGTGGAATGCATGGAGCTCTTCGGGTCGCTGGATCTCCTGGAGCACCTCGAAGTCAGAAAAGGCGGATCCAGTCTCGACGCACTCTTCCAGTTCTTGCTTGACAATCCGCTGGTCCTTCCCTCGCTGAAATCCCTGTTCGCTGAACGCACGATTACCGAGCCTGTCATGGCCAAGGTCATAGCAGACTTGCTGGAATCGCGCAGGGAGAACACGACGGTGAAATTGGACTGCTTTCAACTGGTGTCGCCCCTCGCTGATGGGAGGGAGCCTGATTCAATGCTACGCATCACTAGATTGATAGAGACCGGGATGGAAGTTAGCGTTGTTGCCCCAGAGCAGTGGTTCAGCTAATTTGTGCGGATGAGATCAGAAGTGTAAGGGATCAATCCTCGTCGGCCGTCCCGGCCCGGATTCACGATCACCTGACACTATACACAGTGTTCGTGACCGCGGGAAAGATAAGTATGAAAGTCTTGTAGACCTCGACGCTCTTCATGCTACGTTTCTTCTTATGAACACCTCGCTAAAAACCTATAAAAACCTACGTCCAAGTCCACTTTCAGTCCGTAGCGACGATGCGTCCATGTCTGCTTCTTACATCAGGCGTTGAGGCTGCACCTGTGACCTAGCTTCCTGGATTCTAAATTCTTGTGCTACCATGATCCTCACTCGAAACACATGCTCTCTCCTGCGTCATCTGCTGATTTTCGGGTCCGGCGGGGTCAATTGGGCTGAATATAAGTTGCCCGTTGTCCGTCGTTGCCGACAGCCATGTTATCTCAATCTCTTGTCCTGCTCTCACTTCTCCTTGTACCGAGGGTGGCGGAGGGTGCCGCAGTGTCTTCGACTGCCTCCCAGACCTTCATCGGAATCGGTGGCTCCGGCGCTTGGTGGCCCCACGATCTGTACCAATTCCCTGCTCCCGTCCGCACGAACCTATCGAACCTGCTCTTCTCGCCGACGACCGGCCTCGGCCTGACATCCTACCGGTACAACGTCGGCGGCGGAGGGGTGGGTGTCATCAATCCCGTGCGCGCCCCGGACACGTTCTATGTCAGCCCGGGGGTGTACAACTACAGCCATGATCCGCAAGGAGTCTTCTTCATGCAGGCTGCGGCAAGCTTTAAAGTGCCGATCACCTTCTTTGTCAACAGTGGACCGCCTCCATTTACGAGCAACGGCGCTAGCTGCGGCGGCAGATTCATCAATGGTGCGAACCACAGATGGCCTCTAATTGTGCATGCTCTCTCACACGAGCAATCACGCAGGAACGGGTGCAGCGTATGGCAAATATCTCGCGGATGTCATCTCGCATTGGCATGGCCTGGGAGTGCCGGTCCAATATGTCTCCCCGATGAACGAGCCCGACGACTCGTTCGGCACGCCTGGCTCGTGTGGACAGGAGGGAATGGAAGTCGATGCAAACCAGTGCGCATGCTTCGCTTTCTGCTTTCCCCGGAATGAACGAACGCTCAACCGACAGGCGGGCGGAGGTTGTCAATGGAGTCTATGCCGCGTTGCAGGCTGCCGGACTGCAGAACCAAGTTGGCATTCTTGCCGACGAGTCTTCGTCTCTATCCAACGCGATGAACGAGTACCCGACTTGGCTGCCCTTCGTTGCGGACAAAGTGTGTTTTTATGTCGTACTATGATGCCCATGCTCACTCGCTCAGGTCGCTGCTCTCGTCCATCACACATACGATTTCCCAAGTGACGCGTCGTACACGGCGCTAGTGAACGACGTCAACACCCTAGCTCCCGGAAAGAAGACATGGATGTCGGTAAGTGTCTGCAGTTTCACTCTGTCGGACTAGTAGCGAACACCCCTGCTCAGGAGATCTGCTGTTCTCTTGGAACAGCTTCTGGAGGTGGCAAAGGATACAGCGGCGGTTACGACCCTACAATCACAAATGCCTTGATGTTCTCTGGCATGGTGTTCCAGAGTCTTGTCACCGCCAGTGAGCCGCATTACGATGTAAGCCGTGACAAGTTCTCCTCAAAGATCCGTCTGATCAACGTTTTAGTTCTGGACTCTCGTTTCCAACGGTTTGTTGCCCCTTCCGGCACAGCGGTTGATTCTGAATGGATCTTAGAAATCGGATGCCAGCCGCTGACTAACCCCAGCTGTGCCACCACTCCGAACTCGAATGGTTGGACTGTAAGTCGAGAGCTAGCTGTCCACCTCCTCATCCTGATCTGCTTCTCAAGGATGGCCTGATCTACTACGATCCAGACTATGCAACGAACGGGAACCACCAATTATGTTAGTTCCAGACTTGGGCGAAGCCAAATCTCGAAGATTGACCTGTCTCGCAGATATCTCCAAGCACTACTGGACCTACAAACACTTTGGCAACTTCGTCAAACGTATGTGAACTACTCTTTTATCCTACCGGCGTCTCACCCAACCTGCCTAGCCGGCTCCATCCGGCATGCGCTGACCGGAAGCGACGTGCAGCAGTGGATGATGGCAGTGGCCACACCCACGACGTACTCCGTCCTGCTGATGAACCCCAACACGACCGACACGACGCTGACGCTGACGTTCCCTGACACCGTCTGCCCGCTGGCAGCAGTGCGCACGAGCGCGACGGAGGACTTTGTGTCTGTCGCCGCCGCAACCAGCCACTCGGGCGCCTATTCGCTCCTGCTGAAAGCGACCAGTCTGACCACGTATACGTTCAACCGCAAACATTGCTGATCGGATCGAGGATCCACTGTAAGATTACCCAATTTACTACGTAGTGACCCTGTTTAGGCAATGCTATTTCCTCTTTTGGCAGAAACCGGATCTGAGCTGGCATTCTTTCGTTCGTAGGCATTTTCATTAGACATGCTCTGCACGGGACAACCGAGTTTGATGATATAAAATCCGCCTCATCGGCCCCAGCCTAATGCCGAGGCAGCCCGTCAGTCGTGCAGAGGGAATTCGTTCTGTAGCATTGGAAACGTTGTGTTAGTTTCTGCGCGAGGATAGAAATCTCCGGAACTCACAGAGTAGAGACACACATCGTCGCATCCATCCGCCCAGTCAGCCCGCGTGGACCACGAAGCGTTGGGGAATTGCATGCATCACGCGGGTGCCGACCGTGACGGGCAGCATACGCAGCATTTCGGCAGTGACGGTCGCGTCCATGAGTCGGACGAGGAGCAGCCCGAAGGACGCCAGGTAGAGTGCGCCAAGGAAGAGATCCGCGCGGGACATGTGGCCAGTGTGTAGGGGTGCGGCCAACTGGTGTGAGTTTCGCAGTGCACACCGTCGAAACTCAAACGTGGCACGACCTTTCGCTAAGAGGCTACCTGATCCAGATCAGATGAGCGGCTGGTTCTGGCGATGGGGTTCTGAGCCGAGCCATATTTAGAATAGACAGGGATTTACAGTTTACATAGTGTATAAGTCAGTAAGAATACAACGATCTACCAAGCCTCGATCTCGTTCATCGGAATCGGGCATTCGGGAATGTGATCCGGACATCCACCGGACCATTCATGCACCAAAGCAGCTTTCGCGGAAGCTGGGAGCTTCAATGAGCGGTGGCGAGATCGTGTCTAGCAGAGCAACTCACCGGCGTTCCGCGACCAGAGATTGCCCATGACACTGGTTGCAGCCAAGTTGCAGGCTTTGGCGACGTCAGCACGCGTCGTAGTGTCGCTCGCAATCTGCTTGAGAATATCCACGCCACCCGCGCTCACGATCTCCTTGCGGATGGCCGAGCCCCCGACATCCGCCAAAAGCGCTATTGCATGGGCCAACTCGATGTGGACCTGCGGGAACGGCTCTTCGGCAGCGGTGCGGAGAGCCGCGAGGAGAGCGTCAACAGCGCCAGCCTCGACCAGTGCTTTTCTCGTTCCTCCGCCCCACTCCGCACAAGAGAAGCGTTGGACGGCAAACGCGAAGGCGCCGAGAGGCTCGATCTGGTCGGCCGGGAGGATGCTGGGAAGCCGCGCCAATCCACTCGCGATGCCGGCGTCCAGCAGGGTCTTGGCCATGTCCCCACTATTGGGACGCATGAGACATCCCACAGCGCGAACACTCCATTGCAGCACCTGCGGATCTTCTGCAGTCTCGAGGAAATACGCCAGGGCGTCGACGCATCCCCCTTTGGAGAGCTGCTTGGCTATCTTGATGGACCGCGAAAGCCGTGCGACCGCATATAGAATAGCGCTGTGGTCGGCAGCGTCAGCGTTGACAGAGCTTCTGCAACGTCGCATGTGCTCGCACACTGCCGAGACGATGCCCATCTCACATAACGCGTCGGCGATGGCGTCCGATCGGACAATGGCGCCGAGACACCACCCCGCCATCCGCGAAGTCCGCTGGCCGCCTCGCAGGCCCTTTCTGACGAGCGAGCTCCCCAAGTTGTGCTTGAGCAAGGAAGCTACCACTTCGGGCGTGCGGGCAACCCGGATCAGGCACCAGATGGCAAGCGCCCCAATGTCATCCAGTTGTGCCGCGTTGAGGATATCGATCAGCGTCTTGGACGTGTCCGTGCGATGAACCGCATTTGCCGTGATGGGATCGTGACTGACACTTTCTGTCAGCGAGTGCCAAAATTTGGCAGCGAGCACGTACATGAGAAATCCGAGAGCCAGAAGAACCAACTCCAGGCCAATTCCATCCGCAGCCCGTGTCTTGAGCAGCACGATCAAAGTCGGGATAACTCCAGCCGTGACCAACTTGTGCGCGTCTTTGGACGAACCCAAGCTCAACGCAATCATCTTTCCCAGGTAACCGTCGACCACATCTCGTTTCCGACCTTCTTTGACTTCTGTGGACAGAGCCCCCGCGATCAGATTCGCGTTGGGAGCTGAGAGGCATGAGCAGACAGCGGGAGATAGTGGATCAACAGACAGTACCAGTTCCACTGCTCTGACCACTCTGCACAGATTCTGCATATACAGATCCCGATGGAAAGGGACTCAGATTCTCTCGGTGTCGCGGACCAGACGAGAATGTTGACTCGACATAAGAATGCTTCTGAAAGCCCGCGGATTCTCCTGGGTCTTCCCCAATTGGTGTTATATTCGTCATTCTGTTCGCGGGAAAATGACGGGAACTGGATGATCCGACTTGGGAGTTGGTCAGGAATCGTCATACTTTATTGGCATCGACTCACCAGACGAAGACGTCCTTACAGACGGAGAAGACATCAGCCCTAATTCGCTACGTGGGGTCCTGGGCGGAGAAGTGCCTGCGCTCGTTCCCCCTTCCTCCGAGTCAAAACTGCTGTTCAGATCGCTGGTACTACCTCGGTTCATGGGTGTGAGCCTCTGCGGGACGAGATTCTTCTTGGGAGGCGGTTGGAAGTGCGTGACGGTCGGCGGTGCCGATCCGGGGTGGACTGCTGTGCTCGATGGCGCGTCATAAGCCGGAGGACCACTCATCATCGACACGGTGTATCGTGTACGATTGGCTTTCGGGGGAGCCAAGCCATTGGCGTTGTCGAAGGAGGGCGGAATAGTAATCTCTTGCTCGCTGCCTGGAATCGCATTCAAATCAGAGATACCGACCGCAGAAGACGGGACTGACCTGCGTGCAAGCGTTGAACGAGGGCATCGAAAGTCGGCCGAAGTCGAGAAGCTCGCCAGCAATCCTCCAGCAGTTCCCAAACATTATCAGTCAAATCGAGATCCTCGTCGGGTCGATCAGGTGTCATGTTCTGCTGGACTACTAGTCGGAAAATTTGTTTCTCAGTAAGGATTCCCCAAGGCGCTTTGGAGGTGAGTATCTGCGCCTTATGTTAGCGCAAGCCGAGCAGATGAGAAATGCGCCAACCTCCGAGGCGCTCATGGCCCAGGCATATACGTCGGAAGGACGAGATAACGTCTATCATCTCGCCAGTAAGCGCTGAGCGGGCCACGTAAACAGCGGTTTCACTGACTCCTTTCCATGCTTCAGGGCTAAAGTATCGATGACCGTGGCTTGCGCTTGACTGCACTTCGACCATTCCGTAGTCGGCAATGCAGGCTCGCCCAGATTGCTTAACTAGAATGTTGGATGGCTTGAGACTGCCATGGACGACTCCGCACTGCCGGAAAACAGATTCAGATACCGCTGAGTAGTAGCCGGAGTCGACCCACTGTATGCAGATATTGCATGCCAAGAGCTGCATCCAAGACCTGACAGGAAATTAGCTGATCGCGTCGTGAATTCTGGAAAACCAGTCACAAGTTGCATGCGGTCAGCCCCAGGGTTTCGTTCGAGATGTTGCATGACGTTGCCGAATGAGTGGTACGGAGTAACGACGAAGAGAGGATCGGCATCCGCGGGAGAAACCCCGAGGGTCTGCAATATGTTCCCGTGCTGAAGGCTGCTCCATAGAGAACCGCGCTCGGTCAATGCCTGCCCATATCGTGCAGTTCAGGGTGCATGCGAATAGGAAGTCCTCAGAGTGACGCACGGATCCCTCGGCTTGTTTCGTCAGGACCTTAACCGCCACCACATTGCCCCTCCATAACCCGCGCGCAATCCTTCCTGCCTTACAGGCATCTCCATCTGGGAACTCCAAGTCATCAGATTCGATAATCCATGGGGCGCTCGACATGGATCTGACTGGTAGAATGAAGAGGGAGAAGACGGAAGAGAACTTGGAGAAGTTATCAGCTGGAATACAAGATCATAACAACACTGTCGATCAAAGTACCCCCGCAATCGCAAATGCGGCAAGGCGAACCCGATATGGGCGACTCTATCCCCACGAGATAGGAGACGGGCTAGGCATCGGGCTTTGGCTAGCCGTCTGCACCCATCTTCGGTGAATGTATCCAAGTCCATGGTCAACTGACGCAAGAACGCCTGTTATAAGATGCGAAGATGGAGTCCCGCGGTGCTCATAGGCTGGACACGGTGAAGATTGAGAGCGTGTGAAGATGTGGAGATGCATGTGCTGGATCAGCCGTACTATGTTCAAATGAACGCCAATCGTAGACGAGATTCGATTGGGTGAAGTCGACGGGATCGGAGCAAGTCTGCGGGAGCCCAACAGATCTTCACACAGCCACGCCGCCACAACTCCTTATGAGGAAACGACACAGAAGTCTGCGCCAAACTTGTGCCTGGCATCGTAGTCCGGATGGTTTCGTCTAATCTTTGCTATCCACGGTCTTATATCAAGCAACTGTTGTGGCATGTCAGCCGCTTCTCTTCTCCTTTTCCTCCTGCGCACTTGCCGTCAGAATGTCTGCAGCTTCCAAGTCCCGGCCAGCATCGCAAGCTCGAACTGGGACCACCAAAAGCGTATTGTACGGCCCGGAGACGGAGACTGGCTTCATCAGCCCATATGCGCTGGGAGGCGATGCTGAGACTTCGGAAGCCCTGGACAGCCGATCGCGTGCGGAATTAGGACGGCGGCCTCTTGAGCCAAGCTCTCCGCCGCGGGACACCCTTTTGAACGGATATCGCTCTCTGAGCTGGCTGTTAGGATTCAGGCAGAGCTACAGTCTGGTGAATGGTGGGTCGTGGCACCGTCATCCACGCAATGCAAAACGCCTGAATGTACCAGGTGTTATCTGGGGCGGAGCGTTGATCGGCTTCTGTCTTGCCCGGAGCTTCACCATGAATGTTTCGCGCACACCGAGTCTTCTCGTTCCGGGTAAGTGAGCCACGTGAAGCTCCAATTGATGAAGCTAAAGTCGGTTCAAGGTGAATGGTTCTGGCTAAGCGCGCCGATATACAAAGTGAACATCTTCATTCACATCTATCTGACAACAAGTACGCTGCGACTCACTTCGATATCTCCACTGCGGAGGCTGAATCCGTTCTGACTATAGTCGGCGGCATTTTTTCTGTTTTCCAATTCTTCCCAGCCATTCGCCGGGTTAGTTCTTCTGCTCGGGCATATCCATTTCATTGATGAATCTCCAGAAAAATGTTCTTCTTCATCGACTGAATGGCAAGTTTTTGACATTACGTGTCTGTGACCCAGCTCATGGGATGCCTAAAGGCTACGGTGTCCTCTTTTGCTTAGTTGTCGGGAATATATGCGGCGCGATCGTTGCACGACGTTCCATTGGCGGTGAACTGAATGTCCAATCGGCATATTACATCCTGGCCATTATGGTTGTGTACTCCGGTCTTCTGGGCGCGTACTATGTCAAACGCGACACTCGACTGCATCGTCGTTGGATGCTTCGTAAGTCATCCTAGATCGTCAAGCTTTGGCTCTCATTTGTTGCCCAGGAATGGTCGTTTATTTTTCAACAATTGTCACAGCCCGTCTCATCGTTCTTGCTGCGCGCGAGATCGTGACAATGATCGGCACATATTACTCTGTGGGCATATTCTTGCACCGGCCTCCTTGTCCCTGCTAAGCATCTTCAAGATCTGGAGATGTGACGAGATCATCAATCTCCTCGAATTGTCCGATGTGCAGAATTCCTTTCCGCAGTGTGTAGCACCTGGGGCAAATGCAAGCGCCTTGTGGGTCGCTGTCCATGCTTCGACGAAACGTGGGCCTCTTTACCTCGCCTCATCAGTTCGGGCTACCCTTGGTGGGCATCTTCCCTTTGTCCCGGATTTGCTCACCTACAATTTGGCAGGAATGTGTCTCTGGATCGCCACTCTGATGCACATGGCTGGCGTTGAGTACTATGTATGCTATACTATCTCTCTCTCTCAATGTTCCGAGCATGGCTTTTGACCTCCTTTGCAGCTCTATCAAACAGATGCATCCAATCAAGTCCGTTTCGGTTTTGTGTTGGAACCATTGGATTGGGTCGAAGAGGACATAAAAAGCTAGTTCGAGGTTAAGGATAGGTTTCCATCTAACAAAGGTAGACTAGGAAGGCTAAAGATGCAAGTCAATGAATATATTTTCGGACAACAGTTGAAACCAAGGTTGAAACCAAGCCCCGATCTCACCTCAGTTAAAGCCAATCCAGCACTCTATGATCCCCACCCACTGGTCACACTGCACTTCGTCGACATTATTGTCGATAGCCTCCGAAATACACGTCGCGCAGGCGTCGTAGCATGTCTGTGGGGTCTTCCAGCCGTTCATCTCGCCCTTATACCAGGTGCGTCCACCACAGTCCATGCCGTCCCAATTATCTGTTTCAGTGTCTGATCAGCCCGCCGTTTGATTTCCATACCAGTTCCGAAAGGATAGAGAAGAGCACAAACCAGTGCGGTAACCGGTCAGACAGCTGTGCATAGATTGCTGGTCGAGGCTCGGTTGTGCCGGGGAGCCCATGTGGCAAGAGGCTTGCTGGCTCGCCGCGACAAAGCTGGCGAGGATAATGAAGATGGAACTTTTGAATTGCATTGACGTCGGGGGGTCTCGAGAGTTTGCCAATATGGGGGGAAGGAGATGGCAACGAGTTTGGGGCCTAGAGGGCTTATAACGGAGCAGGGTGGAGTTGTAGAACTTTGAATCTATCTTCCTGCCGCACTCTTACTCTTTGTACGTTGTGTCAGGAGTTCTCGATGCACGTAATGATCCAGACAGAGAGTGAGCATGTAAGAAGAGCTTCGGCTTTGGCTCGGGACCTGAGCAGATCTGTTTCACCTCGCAATCTGAGTAGTTGAGCACTCATAAACTATGCCCGAATCTTTCTGAATGGTGTTTTACGCTTCTGCGAGCGCTCTTTGCTCTTGACCGGGGCGTCATCTTCAGGATGGAAGCAACGAGGATGCCTGAATAGTGTAATATGGACTGAGGCTCAACCCAGGGAACCCACCACGGAACAAGCCCGGCTTGTAATGGTTGCGAAAGTTATTCATGCCGTTTTGAGCTCTATTCTCATCATCCCGTTGACTGACGGATCATGTCATCGCCAATGACACTTCTTCTTGTGGCAGTGTGGTCTCCGACCAAGTGATCACCAGCATAGGTTACGCTCAAACTGTGATGTCCGCTCATAATCAATGACCCTTCCCGTTCGCCACGTAAAACCGAACCCCATACACACCTTTCGTGGTATCACTGCAAGGCGAGATGGTGGAATACTTGGGTGGAGTCTCCTGCCGTTGTACCATAACCGGCTTTCTCACAAATTGCCAGCAACTGGCCCCGAACCGGCAGAGAGGTCATTGCGAGAGTGTCCACTTTCGATCCTCGACGTATAAGCGCGTCGGATTATATCAGCATCCAAAGACGGAACGCTCTCATGCTCGATATCTTTGGCCACAACCCGACGCATAGTCGGGAAGAACCGTTCTTCCAGGTCTCCTTCCGTTCTGCTGACACGCCCTTTATTCGGCGGGACACCGCTACTCGAGGATTTTTCTACTACTACGTTCCGGTTCCCGAGCGTCCGTTGTCGGGGGGTCTGCGTTTTCGATCTTGTTCCTCTCCGAGCATGTTTACCAAAGGATCGGATATTGCGGATCGTTTTGGAATGCCTTGGACCGTCCCCCTTCCCCGTCTTTTGACCCGAAACGGGAGAGCTGTCCTTCAGAGTCTTTTGAGAGATAATCTTGTCTCGTTGCCTGACCTGGTGTCATGCTATGCCACTTTCGGAGAGCGGGTTTACCCACGAAGACCTATTTTGCATGGTTTGGGTCAAACTTGGCCACTTGATCTCAGTCAGACTACCACGATTCTCGTTCCGGGCCCGCATTCTCTGATCGCGTGCGAACTGTATCCAGCGATCGCGCGATACGGTGTGTGCCTGACAGCTAACTAACAAATCGGCACTGAATGTCCCAGGTCAATTGATCGTGTCATTGGAGTTGACCGGGAATCCCAACATCCCTCATGAAGTCGGAATCCGTGTCATGGAGATCCGCTCTCGTCTAGAGCTTCTGCCCCAGTTCTCCAAGATTTCAGCACCGGTCCCTGGTTCTTTTCTAGCGAATCCGACAGCAGATGGAAACTGGGTATGGAATTCACATGTATGTGTGTTGTGTGTTGTGTCCCTTTTGGCACTCGTTTGATGTTCTACAGACGCCAGAGTCGCCCTCTTTTGCTGCTGCATTGCTCTGTCTGTTGAACGGGCCAGGAAAGCCCCGGTATCCTTCAATGAGACAGCGCAGGAAGATGGACAAATGGTTCTACAATCAACTGCCAACCGAACAGGAATTTGAGAGATATATGGAGCAGTGGCCAGGTTAGATTTAGTGTACACGCCAGTGATTACAAAGCAGTAGATGACTATAAGTACACAGCAGAGCGTCACGACCGTCGAACGGTGTGTTCTAGGCGCTGCAGCAACGTCATAAGAAACTGACGGAGTCTTTTCATCCAGTTCATTTGGAACTGGAGACTAAGACTCGGAACATCCACGGCTTGTTTTGTAAGAGGCCTCGCCCTAGCGCGTTCCTCAAGCATGCGTGGAATTTCAACCTCTCCCTTGATGTACACAGATGCCAACTCCGCATCCAAGACGTGAAGCGTTCTGCGAACTGCGTAGGGAGCAAGGGCATTGTACCGCCGCACTTTGTCATTGACTTCAGCCAGTGCCGCAGTGTGGAATGTGCTTTCTTTCGCAGACCATCGCGGATCCCTGAACCTGCGGATGGCTTCAAGTTCGGGAAGCGGGGCAGAGATCGTCAATGCTCTGATGGCGTGACGAGTCCAGCCATCTAACAATAGATGCCGGAAGGTGCTCAGCGAGGCGTCCAATTCTTCGGATTCTCAACTCGCTGCAACTCGTTCACAACTGAGGGACGCACCACCTTGCAACTGGACCCATGGCGGCGCTGCACCATTCCGCTTCACGATTCTATTCATGAGGTACTCTTCACGAGCGATGAAGGGATTATGCTCCTCCGCAATGCGCTCCAGTGGTTTTCCACGGCCCTTGACCTTCGTAAACAAGCCCGCACGCCGAGCTTTCTGACAACGGACATGAGCCGGCTAATTCGATCGAAGCGTGCCGATGTCCCTTTCTCACCTCTATTCTATCTTCGACGAGGTTAGTCCAACCCTTCATACTGACGGGATTGATCTGGGAGGGTGCATGGTGTTTATTGGTATTTCCCAAACCCAGACGGTAGTCCAGTGATGACTCTCGTGCGCGGTTTAACCTGCCGAGCTTGCGATGGAGCTCCTTTTCGGCGCGCCGAGTCTGCTCGTCTCCGCCGATCGCTGAAGCTCCAGTATGCTGGGCAGACGTCTTCATTGGGAAGCGACCGACGCGAACGGACACTTGTGCATGGTCTGGGATCTTGTATTCGGTGTGCCAGGGGCGATGGTCCGGTGGACCCGGTGGCAGAAGAGGAACAGAAGCCCACGAACTGCCGGGCGGAACGAACGGCTTGTAAGTTGCGGCGCCGTCTGCAACTGAGGAATGTAAGGGAGGCGAATCCTCATGATATTGGGGGATCTTGGAAGGCGCCTTCTTCATCTTCTGCTCAGCGGTTTGGATGGTTCCGCTTCGCAATGGCTTGTATTTGTCAACAAGCATTCGGAGAACCTAGAGGGCGTCTTCATTCCAAGTCACAGATTGAAACAAGTCATCACACACAGTATCTTCTATACGTTCATCTCCGGTCCAATTGGGTTGCTCCGCGAGGATATCCTGGAGTCGCTTAGATGGTGCTGAAGGACCAGGCTGTTCCTCCTCCAAAGCTGCATCAGCAAACAACTTTGCGCTCCCTACCAGATTAGCGGAGGAGGCATTATCTGATCGTTCAGAGTTCCGGACAGCAACGTAAGTAGAAAAGTGAGGCCGGCAAAGTCGTAATGAAGCGAAGTGAACGCGATTCGGAAGCATGCAGGTGGCAGTGTTCAGTTGTTTACCCAATAAACATACTTTCTGTTACGATTCCTTTTGGTCTCGCACCTCCAGTCGCACCTTTCCTTTGACCAGCAAAATGGCTGCCCCCGCCCCCATTGTCGACGGCATTGGCATTGCCAACCTACCCAACCAGGTTCATCCACTCAAAAACGGCGTCATGCACTACCCTCAATGCTCATTGCTGATAGAAACACAAAATCGTGGCGAAGCGTGGGGCTCATTTCACGATCATGGTTGTCGGTAAGCCAGTCAAGCTCTGCGCGCTGACGAGGGCATGGTCTGACCTTTCTCAGGCGAGTCTGGCTTGGGCAAGACCACCCTCATCAACACACTCTTTTCAACTGAGTTGTCGCCTGCCAAAAATTACAACAAGCGACACTACAAGCAGCTGGACAAACTCACTGAGGTCGAGATCATCAAGGCTGAACTTGAGGAGAAGCAGTTCAAGGTCAAGCTCACCGTCATCGACACTCCTGGCTTTGGCGACTACGTCAACAACCGCGACTCTTGGTCCCCTATAGTCGAGTTCATCGACGACCAGCATGAAGCATACATGCGCCAAGAGCAGCAACCGCAGCGGCATGAGAAGACTGACCTGCGCGTCCATGCTTGTCTTTACTTCATTCGTCCTACGGGACACACGTACGTCTACTGGCGACTACTGTCTATCGTCGCTGACAACCATTCAATCGTCCTTAGCCTCAAACCTCTCGACATCGAGATCATGAAGCGCCTGGGGACCCGTGTCAACCTCATTCCGGTCGTCGCCAAAGCTGACACCTTGACCCAGAACGATCTCTTTACCTTTAAGCAACGCGTGCGTACTTGGCCACTCACTTTCATCGCATCGGCGATAACATCCTGAGCCAGATTCGGGAAGTTATTGCCGCTCAGGGCATCCGCATCTACACTCCGCCTGTCGAGTCTGACGACGAGAGTGCTGAGCTCGCCCGGGTGCTCCAGGATGCTATGCCATTCTCCATCATCGGATCGACAGAAGACGTGACCACTCCAGACGGTCGCGTTGTGAAGGGTCGTGAGTATCTTTGGGGTGTGGCCGAAGGTACGTTTCCTGCAGTTGACACGCAAGCTCTAGCTTAATCCGAGGCAGTGGAGAACGAGAATCACTGTGATTTCAAGAAGCTGCGGTCGCTCTTGATTCGGACTCACATGCTCGATCTGATCTCGACAACGGAGGAATCCCACTACGAAAACTACCGTCAGCAACAGATGGAGACTCGCAAATTTGGAGAACCCAAAGTCAAGAAGACCGACAACCCCAAGTTCAAAGAGGAGGAAGAGCAGCTTCGCAAGCGGTTCACCGAGCAGGTCAAGTCGGAGGAGGCTCGTTTCCGACAGTGGGAGCAGCATGTGCGTTTAGCTTTGTCGTCCGTCTTCATCGACGCTCACTGATTCGCCGTCAGCTCATTGCAGAGCGTGATCGCCTCAATAAGGACCTGGAGCTCGCGCATAGCTCCATCAAGCAGTTGGAGGCAGAGCTCGATAACCTCCAAGTCGGATATGGTCGCGGGACTGGCAGGCGATGAAAGAGAGGACATTTGTTTCTTTTGGATAATTTCCCGATTGCTACTCGTACCGAAGCTGTTTGTCTTTATACCCATTACGCTCGTTTGACTTTCCATGAATTATCACCCTCGTGCTCGCTATGGTACTTCTCAGTTATACAAAGCATCAGCAAGTCTACCTTCCTCGTAGCCTAAGACGGGGTAAAAGACAGAGCTGTGCGACACTGCGGCCACGGATGCAAGTTCCTGCATCTTAGATAAACAGATGGAATCGAGACGATGCTGCACCAATGCCCTAGCTACATGCCATGGCAGCTTGAAATCCATCTGGTCCAGGACAATCTGCCCTCGATCGTCTCGCGGGCCATAAATGGGTTCTCCAGCCGGGGAACACAGCACGAAAGGAGGTAACAGGTCAACATCGATGTCCGATGGCGGGTTGTCCCTGAGGGTCTGACTCAGGGAGGAAATAACACTGCCTGGAGAAACTGATGGGTGCGGAGATCGAACAAAGACGACAGGAGGAGACGAGTCAGAGCTAAGCTCGTCCTCTTCACTCCGATAGCCTTCGTCGTCCTCACTTTCGTCATGGTCCTGCTCGTCTTCCTCCTTTTCCGTCGCAGTCTCTCGGGCAGGTTTAGGCTCTGCGAGAGAGTCTTCACCAACGAAGCCCCAAGTTTGAGATGTGGGTGAACCAGTGAATGCTTGCGAATAGCGGAGGAAACTGGAGGCAGCAGTCTTAAGGGTCCTGAAGTCCATATACCACTGCTGCTGGACAAGTATGTCTGTCGATGTCAGCTCACGCGGGCGCCACGGAACGATATCGCCCCCATCTTTCCTTCGTCGTCCGCCATGCTCGTCCAAAATGAATATCTCCGTTGTGTTCTCCCCTACGGCACTCGTCTCCAACCTGTGCCTTAGCAAGGCCTTAAGTTCCAAAGCCAGAGGCGTCCACCGACCGATCCCAACCTGTATGCTCCGTATTCGCTGTGGAAGCGGTCTGTCAAGCCCTTCGCCACCAATCCCTCGCCCATACCCGCTTGGGTCGCAACGAATGCCGACAAAACCACCGCGAGCGCCGCCCAAGAGCTCAGTCATGGTAACGACAAGGTCCATCGCTCGATGCAGCCGGGTTTGCCGCATGCACGTTCCGAACGACAGCGCACTTTGGCGTTCTGGTATGTCCACATAGAAGGGCGTGCCTGTCGCTCGGCCCTTTATCAGTCGCAAATAACTGAGGGCAAGTGGCCGGGTAGCAAAGGTCGCAGTAAAAAGGGGCCTCCAGAATGGTCGATCGTCTAGAGTCATCAGGTATTCGCCTCGGCTGACAATCGCGCGTTTTTCCTTGGAGTAGGTCACTGGCGTCGCATGGGAAGTGTGAAGGGAAGCGGGAGATTCGGAGCTGGTAGCATGTCGGAATGGACTTGTATGCCGGGTGTCTCCCTCCACCCCGTTCGAATTCGATGCTGGTTCCCTTCCTAGCTCCATCAGAACCGTGTTCAGTTCCGTTGCGCTGGTCCACCAAGCCGTTCGCCTTAGCCTCGAAGACTGAGGACCCGAAGGCCAGCGCGCGTTGTCCATGGTGTCGAGCGTTTCACGGGGAGCGTTCTTTGAGTTGTAATTCTTGAGCGCTGATGGAAAGTCTTCCTCGCGACATGCGCCGTAGATGTACTCGGGGGCTTCTGGTCGTCCGTGACCGTACCGTACGTCGTAACGGGACTCGAGGATATAGACAGTGTGCGGACGGTACGCCTCTTCAGGAGGTTCCTCGTATTTCTTGTTTCGGGTAAGATAAGCACCACCAGGAAACCAGTTGGACGAACGCAAGTCGCCTGGTCGCGTGAAGCCGGCCATGTATCTATGAAATGGGAGACGGTCCGCGCATTTGGGGGGATTGAACACACTGTTTCACAGGAGTTAGTGCCTGCGTTATGTCCATGCGCTCATCGCGTTCAGCTTTGGACACACGCCGTGCAACTACGCGCAACATTTCCAACGGTTTCGTAGGGTTATCCATTTGTTGAAGGTAAGCGGTGCCCTTTTTGTTGAGCTTTTTATTGGCCGGATTCCGCAAGGAAATCTTGTGGACGAGCTCCGATGTCTGTCCCACATGAGGCGGAAACGGCCGCGGCATCCTCAAAAGTGGCGGGACAGCACCAGAAATTTAGAGGGCAAATCAGTGATTACATGACATAGCGATTTGTTACATAGCCACATCATCAGCCATTTCTACATCCTCCATTGCCATAGTCTGTCCCTCATGGGGTAGGGCGTTTTTCCCCGCCACCTTCTCCTTTTTCGATTTGGAAACTAATATGGGTGCATTTCCGGTGATTTGCTCGACGGTCAGTCTCGCTCCTGAGTCGGATAATCTGGAGACGGAGGATTTGGGCTGGAGCTGCACCTGCTTGAAGGATATCCTTTGTTCAGTATTAGCCACGTGCATTATGGCACTTCTATTTCTGTCTAAACACGGTGGATTAGATCGTCAGAGACGCATGTAACAGGGATTTCCGGACGGACGCACCTTTCCCTTCGTCCACGAAGAGCAACTCTGTGCCCAGCATCTCATCGTGCCTGCCCTTGAGCACTGTCCCAGACAATTGAAGGAACGGTGTTGGAGTGTCCAGACCCTAATTCTCATTGAGTCCCTGCTGAGCTGCGAGCCAGGTGGACGGGCCTACAATTAGTCGATATGTTGACGAGTTGGGGATCAAAGTCGTGTCCACGTTTCCCAGATCAAGGGTCACGTAGGAAATCTCTTCCTCCTCATACTCCTCGTTGATGTCAAAAGCACTGACTTGCTCATATCCGGCACAGAGCGAAGAGAATTGAGGTTGAGACATGCTGAGGTCACTATCGAGAGCAGAGCGTAGATCAAACAATCACAAAGTCATCGTAAGTTCTCCGTGATCGTCCGTCATTTATGAGCGCGTGCGGCTCAAGTTTCATCTGCACATAACCTACGGAGGACACGGTCCAAGCGGTATATAGCGAGCACATGATTTTGACACGTGCCACGATACAAGTTGCCTTCCTGCCTCGTACCTCAATGTCTGCATTGATACTGGTGGACTGGTTTACCACCCTTTCGCTTATATTCGGGGGTTGCTGTAGGTAACAGCTCCCTGTGTCATCGTATCAATGTTGAGCTCACTGCTTGAATAGTAATGCAATCACACTAGAGCAGCTTACCGCGGACCATCCACACGCGGGCTCGTTGATAACTGCCTTTCAATTTCTGCTCATCTCTATGCACGGTCTCCCTCGCAATCTGAAATGGACACGATACGGACCTCGCCTGAAGCCACGTCGAATACCTCTGGCCCCATATGTTGCCCAAGTCGTCTTGTTCTACCTCATTTCACTGCTTAATAATGCCGCTTTCTCCTACCGAATCCCGATGTCCGTGCATATCATCTTTCGCAGCGGGGGCCTTGTAATAAGCATGCTACTCGGCTGGATGCTGGGCGGAAAAAGGTTGATAACGTTGGTTCGCGTAGCTTTTCTATGTTTTGATCGATTACCAGATATTCTCATCTACAAGTCTGCTCGGTGGCAGTCATCACATGCGGTGTGCTGCTAACGACGATGTCTGCTGCCAAATCCTCGAGCGTCTCGGCTCATAACATTGACATGGTGCTATACGCCCAGGGCGTGGCGATCTTAACTGCTGCACTTTTGCTGTCCGGATTTCTGGGTCTCGTCCAGGACTACACATACTCGCAATATGGTCGTAGCTCGGACAAAGCTGCGGTCTCCCTCCCCTCCTGGCAGGAGTCCATGTTCTACCTGCATTTCCTGTCGCTGCCGATGTTCTTCTTCCTCCGTGGTGACATAACGTCACAATTGCGTGCCGTCACTTCGAGCCCGAAAACCACGATCCCTATCGTGAGCTTGGAGATCCCAGGCGCATATGGACCCCTGCTATTGAACACAGTGACTCAACTTGTCTGTGTGGCGGGCGTCAATCAATTAACAACGCGTGTCACATCACTCACTGTGACTCTCGTTCTTGTGTTGCGCAAGGCTGCGAGCCTTTTAATCAGTGTCTGGATTGGCCGCGGTACTCGGGTGGACCCTCTCCTGCTGTGGACTGGGTCGGGGCTCGTTCTCTTCGGAACGGTTGGGTATACATTGGCTACGTCTCGAGCCAAGACAAAACCGAAAAGGGACTAGTTTCATTTGTCATTTATCTCGAAAACAAGGTCATAGCACTCAAGTTCAATTAGGGGACTTCTTTCTCGAATGATTTGTTCCATGAATCAGACTCGAGTTACAGTACTTACATGAAATGGTCAATAATCAAAATTCTGAATGCCGCGTGACTAACCGATATCATCACGCGCTGCTTGGCCGTATTTACGCGTTGGGTTGACGTGCCAGTCGTTCTCTCACCCTACCATCACCACCACTTCAAGAACAACTCTTTCTCTCTCACCCTTAATAACATGTCTGGTCGTGGAAAAGGTGGCAAGGTAAAGCAACCAATGCCCTATCAGAGCGAGTATTTACAAGCCGTACAGGGTCTCGGAAAGGGTGGTGCCAAGCGTCACCGCAAGATTCTTCGCGACAACATTCAGGGTCAGTCTCAACCACGCTCTGTTTAAGACCAGCGTACCGACTCTGTGTAGGTATCACCAAGCCAGCTATCCGCCGTCTCGCCCGTCGTGGAGGTGTGAAGCGCATTTCGGGTCTCATCTACGAAGAGACGCGTGGTGTCTTGAAGATCTTCCTCGAGAATGTCATTCGCGACTCTGTCACGTACACTGAGCATGCCAAGCGGTGAGTTGAGCTACTTCCGTCGCTTCCAGCCTTCTCATGACTCTCTTCTGTAGTAAAACTGTCACGGCCTTAGACGTTGTGTATGCCCTCAAGCGCTCTGGACGCACTTTGTATGGTTTCGGGGCCTAGATATCCGAGTGAGTCATTGTTGTCGTGCTATGTTTTAGCCTCTGAAGTCATGTCTGCGCTTCGTAGTTCCTGCCACTTTCTTCCTTTATCTCGACATGTACTATCGTTGTATGCATCCCTATGCCATCATACGCGTCAGGCGTATAAGAGAAACAAGACTGAATGAGAGCTTCAGCGAGTATCATGGTACAGCGACTGACTGCATTGTGCCTGATATTGATTTCGGTCACGATGAAGAACCCTACATACTTGATTGATTATGCGAACGAAGTACCAACTTGCAGAGACCCTGTTCTTCTAGATGGATTTGTCTGCATGGCTGAGCTCGTTGTTTCACCTCAGTGTCAGACCTATTTCACGGAGCTCCGTGCCCGTGGAGCCTGAGCGCTTGGCGATCAAACGGCTGCTCTCTGCACTCCTCCACTATGCACTGGCATCCGTTCGTGCATCTTGCACCTTTCATTCTCTACTGGATACCGATATATGCTCAAGAAGCTCCTGGCGGAGTCACCACTGCTGCTGCCACCGACGCTACTCCCGTCGCAACCGACTCGGTGGTTCTACCGATCATTCCTGCATCAGGGCAGATATCGTTTTCCCCATACCCCGCACCGTCACAGAAACCGGTGAATGGGGTCTACGTAGCGACGGACCCGGGCCATCCTCCACCTGTGGGGTCCTTCTTGATTCCTGACTTCGAGCAAGCATGGGCTAGTGCAATCCAGGCGGCAAAACTCAAGGTATGCGGACGCGTGTTTTTCGTGCGGCGGGCAGATCACACCGTCTGAATAGGTCGCCAATTTCACGATGGCGGACAAAGCGAGTGTGGGCACAGGTGTCGGATGGATGGCCGGTCGCTGCGTGGTACTTTCGAAGCTGCAGGTTTTGAGCTGGGCGTGGGCTCATTAATCGTCCTCTTTCAGGGCAATACTCCTGCGATCGGTGTGAATGGAAGTCTGTTCCCTTCTCTCTGCCTCGAAGTGCGTCTTGCCGACTTGTTGCCCCCGTTCTGAGCTGACCATCTCCATTCAGGATGCACCATTAGGTGAGCCTCTCCATCGAGATCGCCTGTAACCTTCATGAACTTGTATAGGGATTCGGTTTGCGGACTTTGTGACCGCATTCCCTACTGGAATCAACACTGCTGCCACGTTTGTGCCGTCTCCAAATGGGTTATTTTTGCTCATGCGAAATGCAGGTGGAATCGGAAACTAATGCGCCGACGTGGTCTCTACATCGGACGCGAGAATGTCGGCAAGGGCATTCATGTCGCTTTAGGGCCTATGATGAACATCGGGCGTGTTGCCCAGGGCGGTCGGAATTGGGAAGGCTTTGGCGCCGATCCGTTTCTCTCGGGCGAGGCCGCATACGAGACCATATTGGGCATGCAACAGGGCGGCGTTCAAGCATGTGCCAAGCACTTGATCAACAAGTAAGTCTCGAGTCGAACTGCGGAATCCGAAGGACTGAATTGTCTGCCAGTGAGCAAGAACATTTTCGCACGCAGTCCAGCTCCGATGTAGACGACCGAACCCAACACGAAATCTACGCGCATCCGTTTTTGCGAAGCATCATGGCCGGTGTCGCTTCGTGGGCCATCTAATGATATGCAACTGAAAAATATTGACCGTTTCATGCAGTATCATGTGCAGTTACAGTGAGTGGCTTATCCAGCTGCTATGTTTGGTAACGAAAGCGTACAGACCTAATCAACGGAACCTATGCCTGCGAAAATGACAAGATCATGAACGACATCATCAAGGTGAAGTTGCTGCAGTATTGCTGGGGCCCGTCAGAATGTTTGACGCACTTCACGCATTGTAGCGCGAGTTTGGATTTCAAGGATGTAAGTTTGTGCAGCGTTTTGTCTAAGCAGAACACCCATAAATGTCAGATATCATGTCGGATTGGGCTGCAACCCATTCTACGATCTCTGTGGCAACTGGTCTGGATGTAAGTCCAATTACTTCTTTCACTTGTCATTGGCTTGAATGGATCGCTAGATGACTATGCCCGGAGACATCTCGTTCATGTCTGGAACCACCGTGAGTTGTACACAGTGCTTTCCAGTGCGATGGCTGACCTCGGGCAGTACTTTGGTGCCAATCTGACTGCATATGTGCAGAATGGAACGATTCCTGAATCGCGACTTGACGACATGGGTCAGTGTTTTCTTCGTAGTCGACTAGCAGTTGTTGATCCCGAGCAGCCACTCGAATTGTTGCCGGCTGGTATCTTCTCCGTCAAGACGCTGCCAACTTTCCGCGAGTCAGCTTTGACGCCTTTAAGCCCGCCGACGAAGACACCAACGAGCACATCGATGTCCAAGACGATCATCACACGGTGGTGCGAGAGATCGGGGCGGCGAGCACTGTCTTGTTGAAGAACGACAATCACACGTTACCCCTCAAAAAGCCGCGGAGCCTTGTGTTGGTTGGCAGCGACGCCGGCCCCGCCAAAATTGGACCCAATCAGTTTGCAGATCAAGGGGGGAGCGACGGTATCCTTGCGATGGGTTGGGGCTCTGGGACTGCCAACATGACATATCTGATCTCGCCCCTGGAGGCCATACAACAGCGGGCGAGGAAAGATAGAACCAGTGTTTCGTGGATTCTGGATGACTGGCAGACAGATTTGGCCGGCAACATGGTGATTGGGCGGTCGGCTGCGCTCGTTTTTATTTCCTCGGACTCTGGGGAAGAATACATCACCGTTGACGGAAACGAAGGCGACCGCAAGAATCTGACTGCCTGGCACAACGGGGACAATCTCGTGCTCTCGGTTGCTGCGCAAAACCCAAACACAATTGTGATTGTACATTCTGTGGGACCCATGCTCGTGGAAGCTTGGATTGATCACCCGAACGTCACAGCGGTGTTGTGGGCTGGTGTCCCTGGACAGGAGGCGGGCAACTCCATCACTGATGTCCTCTACGGAGACTGGAATCCCTCTGGACGGCTTCCGTATACCATCGCTAAGAACATCTCGGACTATCCCACCTCCGTCGTAACTGGTGGATCGGGGTCGGATGTGTTGAGCATCCCCTACCACGAGGGTCTGAATGTCGACTATCGCCATTTCGATTTCTTCAATGTCACACCGCGATTTGAATTCGGATTTGGGCTCAGCTACACCAATTTTACGTATAGCCAGCTGCATGTCAAGAAAGTGGTACATCAGTCGTCGACCGATGATGCCCTCGAGAAGGCTTGGTCGGCCGGAGAGGCGACCCCCATCGCACAGGGGTCATCCACAGCGCTCTGGTCAGTCTTAATCTTATTTCCGAGCGTGGTGCTAAATACGGGGCTGCAGGCTGCATCGGCCATTGTACAATGTCACTTTCCATGTCGAGAACACTGGGTGTGTTTGGGGCGGCGATGTGCGTCTTTTATGGCATTCCGAAAGAAGTGATTCATGACCAATCATCAGATCCCTCAACTATATATCCACATGCCAGCAACAGCCGCTGAACCGCCCTCCTTGCTCAAGGGCTTCAACAATGTGGAATTGCTCCCAGGAGCGGAGAAGAAGGTCGCCATCTCGCTCTCTCGATACGATCTCAGTGTTTGGGATGTGGTGTCTCAAGGCTGGAGGAGACCAAATGGCACAATTAGGCTGTCCGTCGGAACGAGTTCACGAGACTTCAGGTTGTCGGGAGAGATTGAATTCTAGAATGCATTGACATACTACGTCTTGGACTTTTCTTGTACTGTAAATAGCTAGTTCGGACCTCGTAGGAGCATCATATTAGATATTGAATGGCTTCACACAAGTACCGATGGGTCGTGCAGGTAGTCCGTAATGCTCGTCGTTAATTTTGACGTTTCTCATAAACCAATTTCCGCGGGAATTATATATCGATGTCTCAGCGGTGAGACATAGCCCGCTTAGCTAAGTGGTTACGGCGTCGCACTTGTATTCTGCGATGCGAAGGTCACTCGTTCGATTCGGGTAGCGGGCATTGCTTTTTGAGCGGTGCGTGTGTGGTTATTCGTGACTCGTAACGTGACAGATGATCAGCTCTCTTCGCGTTCGATCATGTCTATTGTTACCACTCATCTTTACTCCTCCTTCTCATGGCCACAATTCTTGCACCTACGCCGATAGATGGCTTTCCTACCCACACATCATTGACGCAATCTGACACGGAGAACATCCTACTTAGCCATCTCCCTAGCGATCTAAAAGCGACTCCGACCCTCGACAAGAATGCACACATGCAATTCCTCGTCCGGAATCTCGTCCAGGGGTTCCCTTCTCGCTACATTAGCCAGGATGCGAGTCAGCCGTGGCTGCTCTACTGGTCGCTTCAGTCTTTCAGTGTCCTTCAAGTTGGATTAGATCCTGGGAACAAGCAAAGGTCTGGGCTGGTAGCCCGCTCGGATCCTCGGCAGGTTCACTGATTCTTCATAGAGCGATCGATACGCTTATGGCGATGCAACACCCGGACGGTGGATTCGGTGGTGGACCGAAACAGTCCGCGCATCTGCTACCAACATACGCCGCCGTCTCTGCGTTGGCCATTGTCGGACGACCAGGGGACAACGGCGGATGGGACCAGATTGACCGGTATGGAAAGTCAGAGCACTTTACAAAGTCGGGTCTCATTTCCGGGCAGAAAGAAGATGTATGAATTCTTCATGTCCCTCAAGCAACCCGATGGCTCCTTTCTAGTCGCACACCACTCCGAAGTCGACGTGCGGTGCGTACGCGTTCGGTGCTTTCGCATCTCTTTTTCTCATGTGTATAACAGTGGTGTCTACTGCTTACTTGTCACTGCCACCCTGCTGGACATCCTCACTCCCGAACTGGTGGAAGGAACGGCGGCGTTCGTCGCTTCATGTCAGACCTACGAAGGCGGGTTTTCGTCGGCATCTCAACCGTACTTCACGCCATCATCACCGGGATCTGCTCCCTCCATCCTCAAGCATCCGCGCCCTGCACTCGGTGAAGCGCACGGTGGATATACCTCCTGCGGGCTTGCGTCTTGGGTCATGCTCCAACCGTTCATTACGCCAGACTCTGTCAAGATTAATACCAAGTCTCTTGTTCGGTGGCTTGTTCAAATGCAAGGTCTTCCGATAGAGCTTGGCGGGTTCAAAGGACGGACAAACAAACTTGTGGACGGCTGCTACTCTTGGTGGGCCGGCGGATCTTTCGGTCTGCTCGACTCGATAGGGATTGCGGTGCCTCCTTTACCGACGAAACCCGAGAGCGACGATGAAGGCTGGGATGATATCGATGGTAAAGCTATTATGGTCTACTTCGAGGCTGTTGTCCTAATCAGGCGTTTGCAGATTCTTTGTTAAACCGCAAAGCGATCCAAGAATATGTCCTATTTGCGTGCCAACATCCAGCTGGAGGACTTCGAGACAAGCCTCCCAAGTATGTTCTCGATCCCTGCACTAGAACTATGTCTCACTGATCGTGATCCGATCAGACATCCGGACGCATATCATACGCTCTATTGTCTGGCAGGGTTGTCCGCAGCACAGCACAAGGTTGCTCCGTCTTCAGCTCGTCGCGATGAGATTACCCAGGCATGGAAAGCCGGCGCAGCGGATCTGGTGACCCCGGAAATGGACAGCCTCCGGAAACGCGTGTTCTCTGATTCGCTCCAATACACCGAAGAAGAGGGAACCGAAACCATCCTTGGAGGCTCTGTCAATCGAGTTGTAAGGCCTTCTTTTCCCGAGATCTGACTCAGTTGACCCACTCTGCATCAGAACGCAACGCATCCCATCTTCAATCTCACTGTCACGCATACAGAGGCCATTATGAGCCACTTCTATAATCAGACTGTACCTCCCCGGGTCACAAAACACCCCAAGGCATGATAAAGTGATGTAACTAGCAACATACATGTATTTTTATTTGGACGTTTTGCAAATGTGTCAGTAAGGTGAACAGTTGGACCCAATTCTGTGTTGCTTAAAGGCCGGTTTTTATTAGAAGCATTATATGTAAGTTTGTACAATACAGTTCAGAATTATAATATGTAGATAGAGTAGAACGAGAACGCGGTGAGTGAGTGACGTAAAAGAGAAAGCAAAAAAAAGTCCCTGGGTCCGTGTGTCCTTTTAACATGCAGAGGTAGACTTACCAAACAGTTGGTGCTTGGCGGCTCCGGTCCTGGGCAAGCAACTGTTCAGTGTCGCAAACACTCTGCGGCGACATCATCTGCTGCGAGTAGGCCCACTTGTCCTCGGCCTCTCGATGATTCATCAGCTGCTGAAGGTGCAGCTGCGGGTCATAATGTTCGTACACTGCCGGCGAAGCGATCGCGGGCGTGTGCCATCCGGTGACGTGGTACGAGTGTGCCGACTGCGGGGTCAGAGGAGAGACACCCGCACTGTGGGGGGCAAACTGAACCGGATGCTCCTGAACGGGAGGCATCGGGAACTGCCCCAGCTCGTCCTCTTTCACGCCAGCCGCGTAATCATCCCCGTCTTCGTACTCGAGCACGTTGTGCAGATCGCTAGCATCGTACTGCAGCTCTTCGCCCATCACCGCGTACATCTCGCCGCGCGCGGGAGTTTCAAGGCGGTGGACGCCGGCCCGGGAACGCCACTCGTTAGCCTCGCGACGGAGGGCATCGCATTCGTTGGCAAGCGCTCGGAGCTGTTGCGTTGCACAGATGCGATGGCGGCGCGACGCGTTGACGTACGCGATCGACGAGTTGACGATACTCGATTTGGAAGGTCGGCGTATGTTGACGAGATTCGGTAGGACACCAGCGAGATCCTACACCGTGTTATTGGCGTACCCGTGTGATGAGCATGATACACACCAGAAAACGCGAGTTCAACGCCTCCCTGCGTTGACGTTCGACCGCGTTATGCGAGGCCCTACGCTCGGCGGCACTGGGCATCTTCTTGAACTTGAGAGTCCGCTTGACACCGCCTGCACTTGACCCATCATAACCGTCGAGATCAGGGAGGGTGGGAAGTGTGAGACGCGCGGTGTAAGACACCGCGGAAGATACACCGGGCGTGGAGGGGCCCGCGGAACCAGACGAGGCAGATGATGTTGGAGACGGAGGGAGAATGAAAGGCAATTGAGACATAGGAAGGTTTATAAAGTGTTGTAGGTTAAGAAATGCAAGGCGAGTTTAATGAAGCCGTGAAAAATCGCGAGATCTGGAAGCGGACTGAGCAGACAGTCCAGGGAAACGTTTCCTGCACTCACACCAGGCGGAGTTCTTCTTTCGGCGGGGAAGGGCGGAGGGAAGGGAAAATTATAAGAAGAATTAAGAAAGAAAGGGAAAAAGAAACGAGACGATCCCGGCGCGACTTGCTCTGCTCCCTATTTAAGAGCAGATGATAAGGAACGGAAAGGAAGAAGATGCCATCTTGATGGTCGTCCCAACCTTCACCGGTGACAGCCGTGCTGGCCCGCAAGTACAGCCAACTACATAGCTATCATTGTCTCCACGGAGATCGCCCGGTCCTGCGACTTCCCTCGAGGCGACACTCAACAGTCCTGCGGATCATTGCAATCACGAGGCAAAGGACTAGAGGAAAGTGGAGAGAAAGATACTCAGCACTGGTAATTTCAATTGTATGATTGACAGCGAGATAAATTGAAAATTGATCCGTGTATTTTTTTATTGTTTCGGAGGCTGCAGGTGTAATAATCATCGGGCATGCTCTACAGGCTACGGTTATCTGACTTGGCCGTAAAGAACGGCGCGGCTCCGACGAGTGACCATGGATTTCCCTTGGTCTGACTCAAAGCGTCGAGACATATGTACCTCAAACGTCGTGCTACAAGGCGCGCCTCTGGGCTCGGGGGGAAGCCGAGGGAGCGAGAGCGGAGTCGGTACACACCAATTATAATGTAATTCGGACAAGAAAGAATCCGGGGTTCCAAAAAATTCGAAATTCCAATGGTGAGCGTCATCTAGATCTCACCTGGACTGTCATAATCAGTTGGATGTGGATTCCGATACGCCAGGCCCGCGGACACTCCGTATTATGTCTGTCCGGAATAGAGTAAAAGTGGGCCGGAAATTTTTGGATTTCCGGTCCGAAAATAGAGTAAAATCGAGCTCCAGAGCGCGGAAGCGGTCCGGCATAGAGTAAAAGTCGGGCGAAGCCCGACCGATTTTGGCAAAAATATGACTCTAATATGGCCAAATCACGCAATTTTGGAGCACAGTAAGCTCTCCCGTGAGCCACAGCGACCGGCATGGGTGCTCGATCACAACCGGGACTGATGGCCTCAACAAATCGGGTAATGAGAAATCAAATATTGGAAATTTTCATAGCGTGGGAGAAATTTTTTGATTATCCGGTCCGGAAATAGAGTAAAAGTGACCCCAAACCGCTAATTTTTTAGAGTAAAAGTCCTGAAGCTGGCGGACCGACCCGATACGGAGTGTCCGCGGCCCTGATACGCCCAACAGTCTAGACGGTATCTACTTGACATCGAGAGATCTGCATGATGGAGAGAGCCGTGTCGATACGTTCATTACTAACCAGCGCTCGTCATAGCAACAACTGAGGCAACAACTGAGGACCGGTTGTTGAACAGTCTCAGCAAGCACAGTACTTGCTGTCAAGTACTGGTCGTGACCGACAGTGATGGATGGTTCGGACCGTTCGGTGCTAGAATCCGAGCGGCCAGGGTTAGGGCTAGAAACTGAGAAAAAGGCTTACCAATACCACTAAAGGTGTTTTGTAAGCCACCGCGCGCAAGGACCATCGCAGGAAACTCCAACTGCACCTTCCCCTCTTCAGCGATGGGCGAAGACTCAGATTCAAACCCTCTTCCTCCTGGCATGGTGCTGGGTCCCGATGGCAAACCTTGCAAAGCATGCTCGGCCGGTGCTGAATTCCGTAATTGGCGACCTGCGGCCGGCAAGCCTCGAGCTGCAGCAGCTACGGCAGGTCTCGGCGCCGCGGCTACGGCTTTCAAACCAACGCCTTCGCACTCAGCTTGCCCGCCAGACAAAGAACAGCTCGGTCGCGCAACATGGACGTTCCTGCATACTACGGCAGCATACTATCCATTGAAACCCACACCAGCACAACGGTCGCAGATGCTCGGTCTCATCAGTGCGCTTCCGTCCCTGTATCCGTGCTCTCACTGTGCGGAGGACTTTGGTCGAAGTGTTGCGCAGAACCCGCCGGATGTGAGCAGTCGGGCTGGGCTGAGCCGATGGTTCTGCGAGCGACACAACGAGGTTAACGAGAAGCTCGGGAAAGATTCATTCGACTGCGCTAAGACCGACGAAAGATGGAAGGACGGTCCATTGGATGGAAGTTGCGACTAGGTGTACCTCCCATCCGGGTTGCTGTCGTTCGTCTAGTCTGCACATCAAGTCCACGCACTCTAGACTATTCATCTCCACTACTCTTAGAATACTTGAAGGCATATGATCTATTGCTCTACTCAAGGGCCCGAATCTGCTTCCAGAAACATCAGAGTGTGCATCGAATGTAGCACGTGATCGCGTTTCACTGTGATTCTTCGCCTATTGATGTGTTACTCACTGCTACTGTCGAGTACTATGTATACCCGTCATGCACATTCCACTGGTGATCGCAAGCTGAAGCGATCCTGTTTATTCACTGTATGCTTCACGCCTTGTATCCTCCTGGATCAAGAGACGAGTCACTGAACATGGTATCATGGTGCTTTGTCAAATGGCTGCGGCATGACAATCATAGCAGATAAGAAACTCTTTTCACGCTCACACTCACCCGAATGCTAAAAGCTTTCTGGATAGCCCTTTTCTTTGAGGGCCTTCGGGCTGCACAGACTCCCTTCGTTTACGATATTGGGGATGAATGGAATCTCAAACACCCTCCGAGTATAAATTCTACTGGCCACCTTGTATTTGACACCGTCGGCTCGCTCCTCCAGCATTGGCCCAACACAAGATACCATAGCGGTTCTGAGGTGCCATTACTCCTATAACCTGACTCACTTATCGCGCTCAGGGCATACCATCGCACCTGGAATCATACCTGCGGGAACTATCTTATATCACGGACGCGAAGACAGAGACGCGCCTGCCACCCGCGAGTGGGCTGCCTTCGATGCCGAGTTCGCAAGGCTCTTTTGTGTCAGATCTTCCGAGTCCGAACCGTGCTGGCTCTTAACGATAATGGCGACACGATCGCTCAATGTCTTGTACTTTGACGGCAGCAGTGCTACGAAGGAGCCGGATGGACCCATTGACACGCAGGACGTGCTTACCTGGGGTGAAATCGTCCCGGAACGCAGTGGCTTTGAATGGGACTACCGCAGGATGGACCGGCTTTGTGACGTTGGAAAATCGCTGGGAATAGACGGTTTTGTTCGGTAAGTGCTGCCAGTGGTGACGGTCGCTGGGAATCCAACTTACCGCACTTTCGAAGGATGCAACTCAACTTGTGAGTCTAATTCTGCACTTTCTTCGATTTCTGACACACTCTCAACGTAGTGAAGTCATCTTGTGCGATTGGTTAGACGGTGTCGAAACGATATCTTTCACAAGACTGGCAGAAGAAGAACGCTTTCCCCACTCAGGATACTCCTTCATGCATTCGAGTGTGTGGCATGATCACTTCCCTGGCGAAACGCGCGTCCGACTCGATCTCTCGCAAGTCATCTCCATGTATGACACACAGCTGGTTCCGAGCTTGATCTCAAGGCGGGCAAGTAACAAGCGTGATCGCCATCGGTTGCTTGGCGTATCTCCCGAAGATGTGGCTGCAATCTTGGAGCGCGTTGGGACTATATCTTTCTCTCATCTGCATTCTGGAAGCGGTGTGGATTGGCAGTCGCTACTCCAGACCATCCGCGATCGATATTCGATCAGACTGGAAGAACTGAGGTCTCTGTTAAGATCCCATGAAGCCGAATCTGCATTCTCTCTTGTCCGCGTTCTCTTGACGCCCCACCGGTTGCACAATGTACTACCATCTGAAATCGACGGAAACAACACGGACTGGGCAAGACCCGTATTCCGTTCTTGTGCCACCGCTTTCACGAGATCGCTCGAACGTTTGCAAGCGCGATTCACACCCTCCGAGGACTTGTTACATGCAGCTGTTCGGGAGACCACACGAGAGATATGTCGCACTTTGGTGTCTATCTGGGCAGAAGGCACACAAGCGTCAGACCTCTCACATCTTCAGCTCAAATGGGCTTCGGAGACCGAGAGTCTGATGGACTGGTTGGGGTGGGCCGACTGGACAAAATGCATCCCCGGATGTGCTGCTGGGGTGCCTATTTTCCTGGATCCTTCGTTCCAAGCGGCTGATGCATTGTCAGGAAATGTGCTATCTCCCGGGAGCTCCATTTTCCATGGAATCTTGGAATGTAACGGAACCTCGGTGTATTCGCGTCTTTGAGCCTTACTATGGTCTGGAGACTTGAATGCTCTGGGGAGATTGGATTTGCGCAGATAGCTTTCATATGTAGTCGCTATCTCACATCTAGTGCAATAATCAGTCAATGGTGTACAGCCTTGTGCGTCATCAACGCGGCGTCGCGGCCTGCCTCATTAGGGTTTGCGCGCTACTACCATGAGCTTTTCCTTTTCATCCTCAGCGTCCACGGTACTCCCTTCAAGACCCCTGGCACCGCACATACCAATCTCATCAGGATGTCCTGCATGTAAATCGCCGCTGGAGTTTCCCGTCCCGAATCCTGCACCGCGTCCGGGCACGCTTCTCAAGATCCGCTGTTTCTCTTGCGAGAACGTGATTTCGCATACATTCTACCCAGCGCAGATACCCGCATTCTATACCACTTCGAATTCATCTCCTTCTGCAAGCTCTTCGGGCGCGGGGCCATCGGGAGCGTCTGGAGCGCAGACACCCAGAAAGGGAAGGCGGTTCGGGACTCAGGAGAAGCCACTAGAGACAGGCTATTATGACATTCTGGGGATCACACCGACTGCGACGACGGATGACGTGAAGAAGGCGTATCGTATGTGCTCCCTGGCCTGTACGGCGCGATGCTAATGGGTCAACTCAGGACGGATGGCAATCAAACACCACCCAGACAAAAATCCAGACGGTCAGAACAGGCCTGTGTCCCCTCCAACTGTTCTCATGTTTCCCCAGACCCGCATGCTGAGGAACGATTCAAGGAAATTGCAATTGCATACCAGGTATGCCAAGTTTTTACCCTCATGGTCACCTCACATACTAAGACTCATCAAACAGACACTTTCCGACGAAGCGCTTCGAAAGAAGTACAATGAGTTCGGATCAAAGGAAAGCGCACCTGAGGGCGGCTTCGTGGATCCCGAAGAGGTCTTTGGGGCCATATTCGGCGGGGACAAATTTATCCCCATCATAGGCACTATTAGTCTCGCGCGAGATATGAAAGCAGCGCTCCAAGAAGCGGACGAGGCAGAGCAAGAGGAGCTCGAGAAAGCTGGGACCCGACTGCTTGACGCCAAGGGCCGACCGATCATTAGCGAAGAGGAAAAGGCAGCGAAGGAGGCGAAGGAGAAGATTAAGGCTGCCGAAAAGGCCAAGGTTCGGGAGGAGAGGATCAAGAAGCTGGTGGAAAATCTCGAGCGCAAACTGAGCATCTTCACGGAGTCTGCAACGGGGCCGAACGATCCTGATGTGCTATCGAGCTGGAGAACGATATCGGCTCTAGAAGCAGAGTGTGTCTCGATTTCCTAGGATCGAGTCTGGTGCTAACATATTCAACAGTCAACTCAAACAAGAGTCGTACGGTGTTGAGCTGCTGCAGGCAATTGGCTTTGTGTACGTCTCGAAAGCCAAGGCACATCTGGCGACGAGCCAAACGTTCCTTGGAGTCGGTGGTTGGTTGCATAATGTGCAAGGAAAGTATCATGTTTTCAGCGAAACGTCCGTCACTTTCTCATTTTCTCGTGTCCATGTATTGACAATGGTCTACCAGAGTATCCACGCTCCGATCTGCGATAGAACTCAAGTCCGTCTTCGACCAAATCCAAGCTGCCGAGCGTGCAGGCAATATGAACCCAGAGGAGAAGAGAAAGCTGGAGGAGCAGGCCGCCGAGAAAGGCCTACAGGCGCTTTTCAAGGTGAGCAACTTGACGGTGATGGGCTGGAATGTCGTGCTAATCACTGCTTCCAGGGGGCCAAGCTAGAGATTGAATCTGTGTTGCGAGAGACTTGCGAACGCGTGCTGGAAGATCCAAATATCCCGCGCAGCAAGTCTGACCTGCGTGCGGTCGCGCTGCAGGTGTTAGGAGAGGCGTTTATTAACGTTAATAAGGACTCCTTGGCTATCGGAGATGACAGCGAGTATGTCCGTATCGAAACTCGCAAGAGTAGAGAAAGTACGAGCGGGAAACCAAGTAGTCCTTTGCGATGATACAATGTACTATGTAATCGCTCCTCGCACATACTTTCACATTGTATATCATCATCTACTTGTAAATCTATAGCAACATTACAAGTGCTCCCCTTGCATTGCTATGCTGTCTCCTGCTTTGCTGCTTCCTGAGTAGAGTGAGCTGTTTCTGCCTGGGCGGCCGGCGCAGTCTTGCCTTTACCCGGTGGCGGAGGGTGGTAAACGTGGGCCTGAACACAAGGTTATATTTGGAGCCAAGCTTTGAGCTCTCAGACACGCACCTTTTTCACTTTCTTCTCTTTGGCATTGGGATCAGGGTAAGCCAGTTTCTCCAACTTTTGAGCCTCCTCGTCTGCAGCAAATGCCTGCCGGATGGGTTCCAGCAAACGGTTGATCGCGGTGGAAACCGCTGTTTTGAGATCTTTGGGATGGACCTTTTTCTCAGCGAAGTCTTCTTTCAATTCAGCGAATGTCTTGTAGTACGACGGTCCGCCAAACTTCTCGTCCCGTTCGATGGCGAACACTGTTCCCTCCGGTGCATCATCAGGCGCGAACGGCTTCAGGTCAGGCGCGGACGGGTCCAGAATCGAACCACCGCGCAGCTTGTTTTCGATCCTCAACAAGCTGATGGGGATGATGACAGCCTCGACGAACGACAAGATTCCATTCTCGGCGACGTTTCCTTCTTCGCAAAACGCAAGCTTGATCTTCTTGCGGACAGCTTCTGCAGTGTCGAGAAAGTCGATCTTCGAGTTGGGGTTGGACGCAGACATTTTGCCGCCTGCAAGACCCGGTACCATCGTGTTCATGAGGTGAGCACGTTTCTTGTAGCCCAGTCGAGGCAGGTACAGTTCTGCAAAGGTGAAAATCTTGCGCTGAGAAAGAAACAATTAGTAGACCGTAGTATCGATGATATCTTCGCCTACTTGGTCAATACCACCGAATTGGAAGTCAACTCCGAGATATTCTTCATCCAGCGCCTGTAGCCCTGGGTACAGCAGCCCACTCAGGAGTGGGCTTTCCACTTGTTTTACCACCTCGGCACCAGCCTTCTTGGCATCGTGTTCTGTGACGGTAGCGCAAAGACGGTAGTTGTCCATGTTAAACTCTTTTGACAACTGATGATCGGAGCCCAGACGGAAGTTGAGCTTGTCGAGTGAAATCCCGAGAGATTTGAGAACAGTTTTGATGATAAACTTGTAGTAATTCGCGCGATGGCCGACCAGCTCGAAAGGTGCTTTCATGTTGTCGAGGAAAGCATGGATGTCTAATCCTTCTTCAAGCTGGCGACCAAGGCAAAGCGTTAAAACGTACCAGCGAACAAGACTGTCAACTAGAAAAGGCTTAGCGATGCCATGAAATGGCTGAGATACGCGCACCTCGACATCGGCTTGAAGGAAATCAGCGATCTTGGTTAACGGAACGAAGTAACCGATGTGGGCTAGGAAATCCGTCAGAACAGAAATACATATATATAATCGGTTTCTCTCACGTCTTCCGGTAGTGGCCGTCCCTTCAGTAAACGGGGGTTAGACTTTGTGATCATTGGGTAGTCATTTGCACGCGCCCCAGTATCCTTTGGGATTTCTGCCCTCGGACAAGATCGATTTGATGATATCCCCCGACAACACCTCTCCAAGCCTGCGAGTGATCAACTCGTACTTTTCCTCGGCCATGATCTAGGGATTCGCAAGAACGATGGAAGGTGGTAGAGAGTCGAGTGCTGTGAGTCATGACATGACCTGATTAGGGAATAGCTCCCCCTGTTTGTGGGTTAGTCTGTCTCGTTCCTTACTTCTTGATCTCTACGTGCCACGATGGCAAACCTGGCGCAAGTTGGTCTGGGTCTTGGCTCTGACATGAATTTGAGCTTGTTTTCGGTCAGACTGCATGGACTCCTTTCCGGAACCGCAATCAGTCAAACTGACGACCGCCAAGTCATGGGCGTCAATATATGAAAGTCGGCCGAGAACGCCCAACCCTAACGTTCCTCAGCTCAAACGACACCCTCTTACATGCTCGAAAAGCTTCCGCCAGAGATTCTCAGCCGTGTTCTCGAGATCGCGATAGAAACATGGGGCATTGGATTTCTTCCGCCTATCTGCCTCGTCTCCTCGACTTGCTATCATGTCGTCAACTCTTCGCCAAGCCTATGGGGAATTCTGAACGTCGGAAAACGTTCGTCTATGTCGGTTCTTTCCACTCAGCTCGTCAAAGCGAAAGAAAGCGAGTTGCGCATCTATGTCGCAAGTAGGGGATGGCAGAATCGAGGCGCGGACAAGCATATGAAGAGGTTCACGGCTAGACTAGCGGAGCTGTCCAGGAATTGGGTGGAGATTTCTTGCCCCTCTTCGCTGCTGGCTGTCACCAAGTGGTCGAACATGGCACGCCTGAGGACCTTGACCCTTTCCTATAATCGTGGCGGAGGGGCACGGGAATTCTTTGGCGCGGATAGCCCCAGAAACTCTATCCTCAGCTCTTTCACAGCCGTTAATCTGCCTCAGGACTGGGTCCAGGGTTTTTTGGGCCCTAGTATATCTTACTTCGCCTGGGGTCGGTTCCAGGCAGAGAGCCCTATGCTTGTGCAGAGATACCTGGCCCTCATCCCCAACGTGCACACTCTCGGCATATCGGACGGGTCTCTTCAAGAAGTCCATGATGATATGCCAGTCAACTCGCTGGATAATCTGCACCATCTTGAAATCGCGCACGTCAAGCACTTTTCACCCATCTTACTTTACACCAGAGCCCCATCACTTCGGGTGTTGGCAATTCGTCAAAGCGTTGGGCAGATGAGCCTCGTTTTTTCGCATTGGAGCCAGCCCAGGTTTCTGCCCTCTCACCTCCAAAATCTGGAACTTTTCAATTGCTTCGAGCGCCGGGACACGCCTTTTCTGATTCAGTGGCTGGCTCGTCTTCCCAAACTACTCCGTCTCGCTATTTCAAACGAAGACGCGGATTTTTCGGCCAATCCAGCCGCCCGAACTTCACACAACGACCTGGTCACAGCGATGGTCGATCCCAACGGCGCTGGAGACGGATGGCTGTGTCCCTCTCTCATTCATCTGTGTCTGGACTACAGCCTTCGCGTTGCCGATCTCCTGCCGATGGTGCGAGCACGAACGAGCTCGAACATTGCATCTCCGGCGATTTTGCGGTCACTGCACGCTCAACTATGCACCAGCGGCAATTGTGATGAGGTTGCTGAACTGAAAAACTGCTTTTCCCAGTACGGGGAGGGTACCGAGGCAAAATGCATCTGTTTGGGCTGTAGCTTCCACTTGGAAGGTATGTGTTGGTCAAGTTGGACTCTGCTCCGCACTGACACGATCAACAGTTTGAATTCAATCGTTCAGGGTTAAGTATCCCAATCGATAGTACTTATGTTGAAGCAACTGTAGTCAAAAACTGCGAGGAAATCAGATTACGCGACGGACAATCATCACGTGACACATATTGTGTAACTGTCAACAGAGCACGCACCGCGTCAATAAGCACTAGCAGCACGTCAATACACGCCAACAACTTTACTACACATAAAGGAGCCTGAGGGTCAACACCTCACCTCTCTTCATCACCACCACTACCACCACCACCCGGGTTCGACTCTCGATCTTTCGAAGTCGATAATCCAATAGCCACTCGCCAGTACCTTACTCAGTCAGCACCACACAACAACAATGTCTGGACGTGGAAAAGGTGGCAAGGTGAGGTCCCACTGTGTCCATTTCTGAGCTCGCTGTTGATGACGCTCTGTCAGGGTCTCGGAAAGGGCGGAGCCAAGCGTCACCGTAAGATTCTTCGTGACAACATCCAGGGTGAGCAACCTCGCCGTATCTGACTGTACTGAGACGTGACTGTATTTCAGGTATCACGAAGCCCGCTATCCGTCGTCTCGCTCGTCGTGGAGGTGTGAAGCGTATTTCCGGTCTCATCTACGAAGAAACGCGCGGTGTCTTGAAGATCTTCCTTGAGAACGTCATCCGGGACTCGGTCACGTACACCGAGCACGCCAAACGGTACTTCGTTCTCTTTCTTCGCATGTTCCTCGCTCAACGTGTAACACAGCAAAACCGTCACCGCTCTTGACGTCGTATACGCTTTGAAGCGTTCCGGTCGCACCCTGTACGGTTTCGGCGCGTAAACGAGCTGAACATTTTCTACTCACCACCTGTCTTGTCCTACCCACACTACTGTATTCTTTATCAACCACCGTCTTGTACCTTTCTATGTATGAGGAGGCTGCATGCCCTATGATAATACGCTCAGGCGGTCGTTCCCTTCCAGCCCCGACACAGAAAGTAACCTTCTTTTGATTCTGATCTGCTGGCAGTGGGCTTCACGAAGCGCACGTCGTTGAAGACAGGCTCCAGTCGCTCCGTTCGAAATTTGTGAATCCTTGGATGAGTGAAGTGCTTGATTCTACGACGAGTAAGCGCACAGGACGATCGAGGAGCGGCAGCGCTCACAACAAAACCCCGCCATTTACGCGTCCTATCTCCTTTGCCGGCCGCAAGTGCAACTTTGTGAAGTGCAAAACAGATTCGCATATTCTCAGGCTCGATTCTATGTCGCGAAACGCGTTGCCGCTTGAATTTTCCGCCATATCGCACAGAATGAGGTCGGCTTTGCCACCCTGACCGGTGTTCTGTTCGATGAGAGCCCTGATGCTGTTATGCGTTTCCTGTGCCATAAAGTCGGCTTGGACGAATTGAACTCCGGCAATGGGAATCATCGGGAGGAGATCCACTGCAATGATCATCCCCCTTCCGCGCTTGGCGCTTTCGAATGACGAAATATCGAGTGGATTGACGTCGCCCCAGTCAAGGCCCTCGGTGCTTTCAGCTTTCTCCTCATGGGCCGTCCCCGACCGCTCATGCCCACCGCTGCGGGCGTCTCCATCCCAGCCCAGGGTTTTTGCAACAACCTGACTCCAGCCGCCCGGCGCGGCGCCGAGGTCGAGCACGACCCCGACGTCCCGGTGTTTGAGAAACTTCCACCGCTCTTCCATCTCAAGGAGCTTGAATGCAGCCCGAGACCGGTACGAGAATGGCGCGACGGCGTTGCCGTGACCCGGCTGGCCGCCGGGGTTCATGTTGGACGACGAGCGGAGGCGGACATACGGATCGCGGGATTGTCGAGAAAGCCAGACGGTCGAAGATGGTTTCTTAGCGTACAAGGTCAGTGAGGGCCGAAAGACCATAGACTTGGAAGGGGCAAAGCTGCATCAAAGTTTTCGGCACAAACAACACATATGTCAGTCGGACATTTCCGTTTGCACCACAATGCACGGATGAATTTTTCGTAAGCATTGGGCGATTGATATTGTTTTTTACAGCCAGGAAATTGAATAACCTCTGGTAGAATACCCAAACTGGCTCTCACGCACGTACGACAAGATCAACGTGAAACTTCGTTATTGAGACACCTCTATATCTGGGGAGACAGTGAGAAGTACAGAAAATGGATTTTAGGGGACGCGCGACGAAGGTTGCACCAAGACCTGAGCACTGCGAACGAGTTTTATGATGGTCAAACGAAGCGGAACAAAGCCTGCTGGTAGTGGTACATTTACAGGACACCAAGTACAAATTGACTACAAAACATTTAGATATCGAAAGCCGAGCTCTGCCAGCCCGAATTCTGCGACTCCAAAGAAGACTTCTCATCAACTCGCTGCTTGAAAGACAGCACCCGATTCTTTCCTTCCTGGACCGCACTCTGCGCGTCGACAGACTCGTTCTGATCCCTGCGTTCGCCCCGGCTTTCCAAAGGCTGTGAGGCTGTAGCTAAGGGCCCATGCTTGTCTCCGCTCAACACCTGAGGCTCGGCCCCCATCGCGAACTTCTTGTCCGTCTCGGGGCCATCCAGAACGAATCCAGTGCCGGTCAGTCGAAGACCCATCTTGCGACCGCGGACCATGCGTCCGATTTCTGACCAGATTGCGCTGACGTATGCAGCGCCACGACCCATACCACTGTCCGTGAAGACATCCGCCCGGCGCGATACATCCCATGCAATGCCGTCCAGTGTTTCAAAGCCCATCCGAAGCTGTTGGGACAGCGCACGGCTGAACGCTTCCCGGAAACGCTTCTTGAACATGGGCTTCGCGAGCGCAAGCAAAAGTCGATGGTTGCTTTCCCGCAGCGACAATTTGATCTTGTCAGAGATGTTCACCTTCGAGACTTCGATCTCGTGGTACCGCTGCTTCGACTCTCGATCACGTGCTGAAGGAATGAGTGCGAATTTGAGCTCGATGTCGATTCCCTCGGGCGGCATTTCCATTCCGAGCAGTCCGTGGACCTGGCTGGGAACCAGCGCGCCTGATTCGTTGTCTCTGTACCAGAATGAGACGTCCTTGAGAGCCAACTGGACCGCTTGCAGATGAATGTGGGTGGAAAGGCCGAGCTTCGTTTGATTGGGCCCATCAGGGGATGTTCGCACATCCATATCCGTGGTGCTGCGAACGGAAATGTGGGCGGGGTTGAGCTCGAAGGAGGAAATATCCATGTTCTCGAGAACCAGCTCCATCTCATTGTCAGCATATTCTGTGCGCGGAATGGGTATGTCCTTGAGCATCGAGAACAGCCGCTATGGAGAGCAATTTGAGCAACAAAAAACACCAAACTTCAGTCAGACGCACCGGTGCATAAGCGGAGAAGAGGTCCCGCCAGAACCAGACTGCGCTGTCCACCATCGCTTGCATGCCCATGCCCGACTGTCCGCCAACAATCCCTTGGGCAAGATCCTTCGCCAGCTTGGCGTGGGTTTCCTGCAGACGCCTGACATCTTCATCGTTTGCCACGGCGTTTCCGAAAGCCTGCGCGACAGTCGAGAGTTCGGTCCAAGAATGCCCGATTTCAGAATCCGCATGCATCAAAGTCCTCCATTCTTGTCCAAGCTCATCGGAGACACGCTGCGATTCCTCGGACTGAGCATAATCCGCGCTGTCCAGCATCCGGTGCGCAAATGTGAAATACTTGTCAACCCAGGCCTGGACCCGTTTCGACTCTTCGCCACGCAGAGAGGATACAAATATCTGCGCCTTTTCCATCACGGCGTCAACAGAAGATTGAGGCGATGCAAATCGATCCAGCAGCGTCTTAATACCAGTGAGGGCGTGGTGGATGTGCTGGTCGGGTGAAGGGTCGTCAATCAAGGTATCCAGATCTAAACGTTGAGAGCGGCTAGAGTCGAGCGCGCGCGCGACCCATTTGTGGAGAGTATCGAAGAGAACAGTCAAGTGATCATGATATGCGGGGTCTTCTTGAGCTCTTCGAAGTGCCTGCGTCGCTCGTTAGAGCAGAAGCGAAAAAAGTATCGGACTGCACATTACGATAAGACCCTGAAAGACGATCTTTCGTCTGTTGCGTCATTTCTTGCGGCTTGCCGGAAACCGATTGCCCTGCCCCAATCCCTCTGGACCCGACATCCTTGACCAAGTCCATCCGATTCTCAAACTTCACTTGCTTGTCGCCCTCCGCTTCGAGACGCTCCTTGTCTCGTCCAAAGGCGTCGCGTTTCCCTTCCTCAACCTCCTGATCGACGCGCCGCAGCCCTTCTTTCGTACGACCCGCTTGATCCTGGACGACTTCGGCGGCATCGGCCAGGGATAGACGAGCTAGCGATGCAAAGTCCCCAAGCAGGAAGTTTCCCTCGGATACGACACTTTCCCAGAAGAGGGAAACAAGCGTGCGCAGCGAGTCCTGGGTCGACTGCTGATCCGAAGACACCTCGTGTTTCTTGTCGCCCAAATCTACATTGGCCCGAACCGCATTATTGACTTCGCCTTGGGAGAGGTGCCATAGTGTTTCTTGCGCCAGATTATCGGCTGAGTAGGTCCGAATCGTCAGCGATCGCGAGTAGCATAGAGTCGGGCTGACGCACCATTCTTGTTCTCATTCAGCACCTTGTGTGCCTCAAGGATCTGCCGCAGATTCCCAACAAGTGCTTGTCCCGGTTCACTCAGGTTATCCCGGTTCGTGGGAAGCACGGTGACCAAGAGCCACTCGATGAACGCGTTCAACTGCTGCGTAGACGGAAGTTTTCCTGCGTCGAATGCGGCGATGATAGATGTGGGTTTATCCATGATGAGAGTTGTGGTATACAGAGAGAAAGTTGGATGCCCTCGCGTGCGTTTTTATCAGGCATGGAGTATGACTGAGGTATGACGTGAGTGAGCCGTTTGGGTTATGTGGACTTTGGATGGCGTACTGGAGTCGACCAATCTATGACGAGGTCAGATATGACGAAAGGCAGGCAGGCACGACGTCTCGAAACTGACAGTGGTGCCTTGAGAGAGCGAGACAAATCTGAGAGTGATCAGGTGATCGCGAGTCAAACAGTCAAGCCAGCTCCAAGGCTGATACACAATTCAAGCGTGTTACAGTGTGTTTTACAGAATACTTAGAGAAGAAGAACCTACGATACACAATAATGGCATGTTCAAAGATCAAAAGCCCGGCTCTGCCAACCAGAGTTAGCGGCTTCACGAGCCGACTTATCCTCCACAGTTTGCTTGAAAGACAAAATCTGGCTCTTTCCCTTGTCAAGAGAGTTCACGGCACCCAGACGAGTAGAGGCTGCTGCGACTGGACCATGCTTCTCTCCGCTCAGGACCTGTGGCTCAGCTCCCATCGCAAACTTCTTGTCTGAGTCTTCAACAACGATTCCGGCGCCAGTGAAGCGGAGACCCGGTCCCTTCTTGCCCTTCGTTAGGTGCCCAATCTCAGACCACACCGCGCTGATAAACGACGGCCCAGGTCCAGCACCAGCATCAGCAAACACCTCTGCCCGGCGCGCGACGTCGAAAGCAGTGGAATCGAGCCATTCGAGCCCAGCACGAAGCTGCTCAGAAAGCGTCTTGCCCAGCGCATCTCGCAGGCGTTTCTTGACGATGGGTTTCGCAAGCGCAAGCGCGATGCGATGGTTGCTCTCGCGCACGGAAATCTTCATCTTCTCCGAGAGCTGCACGTTCGCGACTTCAATACGGTGGTACCTGCGCAACTTTGCACGTTCATCGGGAGATGAGATCAAGCGGATCGTGATCTGGATGTCTATTCCCTCTGGTGGCATTTCGAGAGCAAGCAGACCCGAAAACTCGCTGGGAATAAGCTTGCCGGCCTCTTTCGCCTTGATATAGAATGAAGCGTCTTTGAGCGCGAGCTGCACAGCACGCAGATGGATGTGGGTCACGGTACCAATGTCAGTCGTGTTTGCCTTGGTGCGACTGGTCTGAACGTCAACTTCTGTGGTGTTCCGAAGCGAAATGTGGGCGGGATTGAGTT